GATGCCTCAATATTTTTTGAAAAATCTATTCCATAACTCGACCATTGCAGTAAATCAATAATTGTCGATAACTTTGCAACGATGCCTTACGATAACTCGGCAAATTTCGTTAGCTCTTTAAATAATGATAATTCAATAAATATCGATAATTTGATAAATTTCTTTAACTTAAAAAATTTTGATAAACCCATAAATTGTTATAGCTCGATAACTATCCGTAAATTTTAACAACTAAGTTTCTGTGTCTATAAATTTCGAAAACTCAATAAACATTGATCAATTTGAATAATTCGATACGTTGCGATAACTCAGTGAACCTGGATAACTCGATAAATTTCGATAACTATAAACTTCGATGATTCGATGTATTTCGATAACCTTTATTTATTTCGATTCCTTTCGACAAATTTTAATTAATTTTCTTACTCTTTAAGTTACCCCAATTATTATGTATTTCTCATTGTCCCCATTTCCGACTTTATCTCCACTTTTGCTTTCTCTTTTTTGTCTTCATCCAAATTTTTAAACGCCGATTTTGACCGAAATTTTCAACCAATTTTGAAACCACTTTCCTCGTCTACCTAAAAGTACATTTCCAATGGTTTTTTGGATTTACCGAGACGGATTTAGGCTCATATTTCCATCTTTCTCTGTCCCAGCTAAACTTTCTTTAGGGTCTCGTTTTCCGTAAACATTTTAGTTTACAGTTACTATGCTGAAAATGCTTAAATTTACTTTTTGGTATCCTTTAGACACGTTTTGGTAAGTTTAAGGTTAAATTTCTACCGCCCGGCAAAAGCTCATACATTTGTAATTACAGTTTCTACAAGCAACTAGACAAGCGTAATATTATAATTTTTTGAAAAGTGGCAAACGACGCCGGTTGTGGCCGATGCCGCCTACTCCCAAAGAATTTGGCTCTAATGAAGATGCTTCAGTGCACGCTTAGTTTTGTGGTTCTATTTGTGTGTGTGCTTTGTGTTGTACTTTGTAGCAACGTAACGTTTTTGCCATTTACGCACTGACATTTCAAACATTCATTTATTACTTTCGCTTTTCAGCTTTGCCAATATTTTTCATTAAACTTAACATAGGATGTCTCTTTTTACAACGCTTTTATCAACTTGCAATGTTGTGTTCCAGAAACTTTCAATGTTGTGTTCCAGAAACTTTCAATGTTGTGTGTCCGACACCATAAAGCAAAGCTTTGAAAAGCTCCTATAAAAAAACATAGTGAATAGGGCGAGGTAGATGACATCTAGATGTCGCCCTATGTACTACGTTTGCTACACCGGAAATAGACGACACGCCATTTCTTTAAATAAAATTAATTGGTGTTCGTTTGTATGTACATACATATGTAAATGCATGTGTGTGCACCTTTCTATTAATATCGTTGAATTATTTTAATATCTATTACAAACTTTTATTCAGACAGGACTAAAAAGTAGAAAATAAATAATATAAAAAAAAACTTTTTAATATACAATGCTTTTATAAATGGACTAAAAAGTAGAAAATAATACTTCTCTGTCCCATAGAATTTGTTTTGATAACTTTTGATTTTGAAATTTTAGCAAAAGTCATTATAAACAATCTATGAAATTGAAAATGAAAAGCGTGGGGCGCTTGTAATACACTTGAATTGATATGAAAAGTAATATATGAATGTATGTATGTGGGTATATGGATAACGACCGCTTAAAATCGATTTCAAAGTTCTACTTTCGCTGTAGAAATTTTAGGTCTACGTTATGTAGTTTGACTATTGTCAATTAAATCGAATGCTTTGTATTGCATGCGCTCCACGTTTTTCATTTTCAATTTCATAGATTGTTTATAATGACTTTTGCTAAAATTTCAAAATCAAATGTTATCAAAACAAATTCTATGGGACAGAGAAGTATTATTTTCTACTTTTTAGTCCATTTATAAAAGCATTGTATATTAAAAAGTTTTTTTTATATTATTTTTCCTATTTAGTGGATGGGTGGTGTGGTGGCAGAAAGGTTGGTGGGAGCAGGGTGACTAGCTTGGGTAACTAAGGAGCTGCATGATTGGCTGGATTTTCAGTAATATTGAGGTTTAATTAAACAGTTTCCTTGCGGTAATGCGTAAATAGAAAATGAGTTTAATTTACTTTTGTGTGCTTATTTACTCATTAATAGGCGGACTGATGATGAACCTCTTTGAGCGAAAGTTTTGTTCTTTTTTTTCATAGAGTTTTATGCACGCAAATCTTCTTATTTAATTATGTGATAATTTGCAAGGTTAATATATGTAAGTGGCGTTTGTAAAGAAGGGATGATTAAAGATTATCCTCTGGGTAACAATGGCGTTTTTTCAATTGGATTTTAGGTCTTGACTGGGAAATATAATTTGAATGTTCAGAGTTTGTATACATATACAAGTAGCTAATTTGTATAAACCGAACGTTTTTGTGTTAACAAATTAACAAGTTGTTGCTTGTGATCAAGAAAATGCTACATTCAAAATTACTGAACGCAAAAATATATCCAGCAGAATTCGAACTCATTTTGACATTTTTATGGCCTCTTGCCTACGCTTGCCACTATGTGTCTAGGGCTCGCTTAAATGTGCTCCCCTATATGTAGTTGAATTTTGCGAAACCTGAAGTGTGGTATAATTCATTCATTTCGGTTAGTTAAGCCGGAGGCAGCAGAGTCAAAGATCAAGTCTCTGAATCCGTAAAAACTTTGGACCAGAGTCCGCAAGCAGTGAAGCACGACGATTGTCCGGCAACTGATTCCGGTATTCACTTCTGAGTCTCCTTGCACGTGTCCATTGGCTCCGTCAAAAATATCGGCAGACAACCCACTGGCTGATAAATAATCACAGCTGATTTCTTCCTTTCTGGCTTGGTCATAGAGTGATGATTTTATGGATCCATTTTCTGAATACCTTTGGAAATCAAAATGAAAACCTTTTAAATGACACATAAAAAAACCAGTCCAATGACGCTCATAAATCAGTCCCGCTCCCATGGAATGAATAATTGCAATTGGAGGACGACCACCATTTTCCGCTAATTCGAATTGAAAACAAACCAGGTAAGGACAGCGATCTCTACGGGTATGCCAAAGGATTCATACCTTTCATTAACATCCAAAAATTTTGTTCAACCGATTAAAGCATTTTAAAATATTTGCTCGTGAGCGAAATATAATTTTTACCTTCACCGCATATATAGATATAGGAGGTATATAAAACCTCATGTCTGAACAATCAGTGGTATGGAAGATATTCCTTGTAAAGCCCCTATCTAAATTATTTTCACCACTGTGCATGGTCGATATGTAAACCAGTCCCAGAATTTATTGATTTTAGCTGCCTACATATAGGAGTTAAATAAATATATGGGAAATAGCTGTACACTCTGTGCTATCAGTGGTATAGGAGACATAGCTAAATACAGCATCGATCTTGACTATTTTCTCCGTAAACTTTTGTATGATTACTTAGAAAACAACTTAGGAAATTTCTCGATTTTAGCCGTTCAAATGAAGGAGTTTCGAAGTAAAAGCCAATATCTGAACAATCAGTTGCATGTAGGCTATAGGTTTCAGTGAGTTGATCTTTGTCCCTTTAACTGTAAGCTTTCTGTTGGTAATGAGGAAAAACAGTTTGAAAGTTCACCTTACTAGCTGCGTAAATGTTGGAGCTAAGATAAAAAATTCTGATTTGAAGAATCAGTTGTATGGGAGCTACTTGTTACAGTGGTTCTATTTGGTCGGTTCCGACAAGTAATTAATACATTATAAAAATATACGCATTTACTAAATTTCAGACAGATATCTCGAAAACCGAGGGTCTAGACTGCGTTTAAACTGACAAGTTCTAAATTTAATTGCACATTTTTATGTGTCTAACTCTAAAAGCGCCTTCGTGATCTAATCAGCTATTTTAAGGCAAACTGCTCCTTTTTCTTTCAATGCACTAATGTGGTTCTTTCGGACAGGAAACTCTGTCACTGTCTGTCTGTGAGATAGATAAAGAAGCGTCAGAACATATGGGTTATAAATCCGTTGCTCGAGCCAGACGCAGTTTAGTTCACCTACCTAGGTGGCGTAACACTTAACCTACCTTTAAATTGGAATAAAAATGCCTATGAAAGCCTATGAATATCAAAAACCTTCAGATATAGCATTAATAGACACGAAAAATATGCCAATTTTCTATCGCTTTGACTTCTCAACAATCAGAAAATTCTACCTTTATACATTGCTCAAATTTAAGCCTAAATACATAGAATAGGTTGGGATCTATTCCAAAAGATGGAAGTGACATTAGACGCAGAAAGTCAGCGCCACTTTTTAATCCAAGTTGCCCTTCATACTCTCTTCTCCCGCAATACCCAAGCATTTCACCTACTCTACGAGAAATTCCTCTTACCTTACGCTTTCTAATTTGAAATTAAGTGCTTGTCTCTCCTATGCAAACAATTGCATACCGAGTTTAAATATTAAAATCATTCGGTCTGCATAGAAATAACAAACTTTTTAATAAGGCGGCTTCCCTCCACATACCTTTCCTAAATCTCTTGGCTCCTTTGATGTTTTCATTTACCCTTTTTGCTTTTACTTTTGCTAGTATTTATACATCCCTCTCAAGGGCATATTGTGGCAGCAATAAATAGTCTTCTTGCCTCCATTTGTGAGAGCGGCAGTCAAGTGTGTCAAGTGTTGTTGACTCGCTTGCCTTTTGTCGCTGTAAATTGTTATTACTTTCGGTAATCAATTACTTGGCAAATGTTAATTTAGCAGATGACTCCCTTTACGGTTTTGCAAGCCAATTTAATTAATGTTTTATGTATAGGTTAATGTAGGAATTTATGAGTTTAATTTTCATTTGTTTAACTATTAATGTAAGTAGATAGTTTAAGTATAGTTAGATAAAATATCAGCTTATTTTTTATGTCTTTAGCCTAGCTTTAATTACTATCTATTCTTCTACTTAATCTTTTTACCGTTTCGTTACAGCTCATTGTGGAAATCAACAGCCAAGTGGCGCTCTTTCGTGATATGCTAATCCATGTTGGCCAGACAAAAGACTGTCCCGAATTACGGGAGAAAATTCGAAAACTGCGAAGAACCTGTGTGGAGGCATGCAAACACACGGGACAGATAATAATGCCGCAGGTGAAGAAGTGAGTGGAAAACGAAACAAAACTTAAAAGTAAAATGGGAATCAGAACTTTTCCAGCAACAAAGCCAAACAAAAGCCAATGCAAAGCACAGTTAGCTTAACTTTTATGTGCTCGGTAGTCTACATTTGTAGCATTTTTGACGAACATTTTTAATAAAACGCTTCTATTACAACCATTGTTTAGGCGCGACTGCTAACACCGGGTGCCTAAATGCATGCTGTGTACTGCTGTATATGCGAAAATTTCCCTCATTTAATTTATGAAATATTTGCACTTGCACTTCTCAACTACCATGTAATAAAACTTTCTTAAGTTATAACTTGATGGCAGTGCAAGTGCTCAGCCTAGCCTGATGCATCCGCTGGACAATTCTTCCGCAGCTTTTTTCGGACTCTTTATGGCTTACAACCATACAGAGATTGTAAATGAACTTTACATCAGGACTGCCAATTATACTTTTTCGATCAATTCTATTGTATGAACACATTATATTAGTATGTATATTTCACAAAATTTTAATATATATCACCTTCACTTGCCTATCATCTCACATATCCAATTTCATGTATCTACTTATTTCTACTTGGCTTGGCTTCGCAGGCATTCGCGAATTATTAAATCACGATTTAACCAACACCTCGACGTCGCAGTGGTGCCTTGAAATATTGTTAACGTGCGACTCATGAAATAGTATATGCCATTGATTGAATTTAATAATTAATATGCAAAAACCCAATGGGGTGCTCTGCTGCTGCAGTGACATGCATTCTGAGCTGAATATGCTAAAGCGCTACATATATGTATACGTAGTACGTGAAAAATTCGCGCATGCACTCAAAACCAAAGGCATTTGCCGCGCGCATGTAAAAAAATATTAAGTGGCAATTAAAGGAATTACGCTGCAGACGTGTAGTAATTGCTTTTAATCAGAGGTTATTTAAAGAGATTAATGTATATATTAAAGTGCAAGCGTAGATATATCGGTTCATTATAAGTATAAAATTTCAACATTACGCTGCGGAACTCATATTTTATGGTAAATATTTAAAAATTTTAAAATCTATTCAGTCTCGATATGAGGCTATGGGCGAAATCATACTAAAAGTATGTTGCTTTTAGAAACTCGATACTTTATACAAATACAAAGCATTATGTAACTTGGAGCTCGTTCTATATATTTTGTGTAGTTTACACACTAATTTACAGTTTTATGACTTTTAATAACCTCCGTTAAGCGGTCCTTCTTGCGTCGTAGTCTTAGTTATTGTTGGAGTTTTCGCTACCCGAAAGCTGTAAAGGTCATATACCAAGGTAACGCCCTAGGCTCGAGAGTTGCTTAGTCGAAAAAATATTATAGATAAAAACCAAAAATAAATAGAATCTTTACTTTAAAAAGAAGCCGTCCAATTAGATAGAAAAAATAATTTGTGTGCCACAAGACGGAAGTATACTCTTCTTGTGAAAAATGTTACATAGTTGCAACACAGTATTCTGTGCTATTTCAGTATATAGTTGGCCAGCGGGAAACAATATTAAACTTCCTTCTCTATTGCTTCAGTCTGTTGCCAGAGATCTTTCATTCAAAGTTAACTTTTCATTTTACAAAACCAGAGGCCTCAACCCTTAGAAAACCTTCTCTTCATAAATATTTGCACTGCAAAGTTCCAAGAGCTTTCATTTCAAGTGTAGTTATGTAGGTTATTCCGCCCTTTTCTCTTCCCTTGCGTTTGCAAGCGACCTTGTTTTCATTGTCGACCAATATCTAAGTGTTGAATCGAAGTACGCTTTCACTGGACGTTTAACATCCATGTCCAAGCTATCGGAAGCGTCGAATCTCAATGTATGCCAATATGTCTGCAAACTCCCACAGATGGTCATTCCACATTCCCCAAAACCCATCGTCTAGGCAATCCGGTCAATAGATTTTGTATATAATTATTATCTCAAAACCTCTCCAAGCCGGCTTAACTTTGTTCGGTATCGCTTACGTTTCTGTGCTATATAAGAGGTTTTTTAGTTTTTTTTTAGTTGAGCTCTGCTTTTAACCCTTTCTTACTCTAACATGGTCAAGGCACTTTCGTTCGCATAACAAAGTACTGCGGTTGGTTGCATACTCCCCGTAGTTCCGTAAGCTTTCTACATCATGCGAAAGCTCATATTTTTTTAGTGCCGATCATACCGAAAGGAATGGAGAACCCGTAGCTGCTCTATTGAGTTTTGCACCCATGCGAGTAATTAAGTAGCTTTTTCTTAATACCGTAAACCTTTGAGAAAGAATTACATGATCTCCGAACGCTTTTCATATTATCTGGAGGCTCTTTGTCTTGACCTTGTTCAGCGCAAAAATAACATCTTTTACCTCCTGCAGTTGGAGCATGTCCTAGTGTTGAAGCCGGCGTTGTCAATGTCATTAGCATTCGGTAGCAACTCGCTTGCACATGCCACCTGACAAAGAGTGGCCTTGTCTAAACCCTCGTTTTGCTCAAAGGGGTAGTTTCCAATTTTAACGGAAAAATTTTACATAGCCTAGGTTTTTGCGGATATACCAAATTTAGACATGAATTCTCGCCTTTGGAGTGTCAAATACAACTTTAAAATATACATAAAAATTAGTTTGCATCGATTTGCTAAACAATGATATTCATACAAAATGTACAAGGATTTTCACATCAAAAAAATAAAAAAATATTTGTACTGCTGCTTTGTCTGAGAACCGTCTTTCAAATTTTGTAAGTCATATTTTTTTCTGTGTAGTATGTAAAGAGATTTACAGCCCGATTCTGTGCACTTGATAAATTGAAAATCTTTATAATTTGTCAATTTTTTATTATTTATCAAGAATTGGTATTCTAGCACAGAAACCAAAAGCTCTTTTCTTTATAAATTATCAAGATGGAAAATGCTATTGACAAATTGAAATTTCATATGAATTGTATAAATTTTGTATATTAATAAATTTGTTTCTAGCAATTAAATACTCCATGTGTTGGCATTTGAACCTGCGATACACGGAATTATAGTCGACATCTCTACCTACTCGGCTACGGCAGTCAAAAGCTTTTTTGCTTTTAAAATCATATTTTTCATATGTGACAATGAAATCAGCTCCACTCATGTGGAAATCAGTTCCACTAATGTGGAAATCGTAGAGCTTTTTGTTTTATAAATATTGACACAGAATGCGAAGGAAGCTTTTTCTTGATAAAAATCTTGATAAAATTTCTTTACAAAAAATTTATCAAGAAAACACAGAATTGGGCGGTTAAATTGAGTTTCTTTATCCTAGTTTTTTAAAATATATTTATTATTTCTTCTTCTATGTATTGGTTTTCTTTGCTCCTCATGACCTTGCGCTGAACGCAGTTTCTCTCTTTTGGAAAATAAAAATTGTTCAGAAATCTGTTTTCCCCGCCCACACATCAAGGCAAGTTCATTAATTTCATCGCAAATGATTGAGTAAGCGATGGAAGTTTGAGACAAGAGGCAAACATATGTATGTACATTAGGGTGCAAAGAAAAAAGTTTAAAATGTTAAGCTCTCACCTCCCTGGAATTTTTCTAATGGAAAAAAGAAAAGAAATGGTTAAAAAAATATACTTAAAACTGCCTCAAAGCCCACGAAGTTATCCATTTATTTTATATGGGGAAAACACTGTTTCGTAGAAATGATAAAGATTTCTTGAAAATCAATATTTTTCTATCGAAAAACTCCTATTTCTCTTCAGGAGAATGCCAATAATAATAGCCAATTATTCCGTTAGCCATTTTTTATATTAACTATTTTTACAGGTCCCCCAAAAAACCCTCAGTATGAAATGGGGTACCCATATAAAATCGTTAGTATTAAAAAATGGTAAAATAAGAGAAACAGAGTTTACTGCTCGAAAATATCGATTTTCAAAAATTCTATACCATTTCTACGAAAAGTGTTTTTCGTATGCTTTGAGGCAGTTCGAAATATAATTTTTGTAAACAAAAATATACGGGTGTTCTTTTTTACATTTACAAAAATCCCAGGGGATATGAGCTTAACATTTTAACATTTTTCTTTACCACCCTAATTTATATACACACATATTTACATACACATGATTGCAACACTCTCCTTCAAGTGCCCTTAATTATGAAACCATCGGTTCATACATATTTACATAAAAAAACAACAAATTTTCATGTTTCTATAGAATTACAAATACACTTAAAACTCTCAAAGGCCTGTAATCGCAGCATGCTGAAGAAAACACCTTCGTATCGCTTTTGCTTCTGCGATTACTATCTGCAAGCGATTCTGCTGCTTCGAGTGTTTTTGAAATGAAATCTCTGGCACGTTAACAAGACATGCCAAATTTCTGCTTCATACTCGAGTACACCCCACACATATTTACTGCAAGCGACTTTCTCCATACACCTTGCCTCTCTCCTCGCTTCATTCTACACGCTCTTCGCTTTTTATCTTCACTACTCTATCTGACATGAAACGTTCAACCTTCGGATATGATTTATCATCGGCCCACAACAATGCTGTGCATTGCTCATAAATATTTTGTATGGATTGTTTTCATACTTGGCATTGTTTGTCAACAGGAAATGAACGATGCTCGAATTGACGGAGCGTGATTTTATTACTTTCACTGATATCTACTGATTTTATTTTCATGCATTTTTCTTGTCAACAATGTGCTTTGTTGTTTTCTGCATTTACTCGGCGAATATATTACATTTAGCTGTGTAGTACGTACATATGTACATTGTACTACCTTACGAATTCATTATGCATATCATACAATACATATTTATGTATATGCCCACTAGTTCATTCCAATTTAGAACAATGGCCATTTTGCGTTAATATTAAAAAAAAACACAACAATACCCTAGAATGTTCACTAGAATGCTACTTCCCTTTTGCGACCAATTTGTAATCATATAAATTAGCGGGCTAGGAAGAGCACCTGTTGTCCATGCCCTGTGTTCTTGGTGAAGGACCAAGCGTAGAAGCA